CGCCGAAATAGATTGCGTTCATACGGACAGACGGACAGACGGACGGACGGACAGACGGACAGACGGACGGACAGCAAGACGGACATTGCACAAAACCAATATACTGATTCACTTTCGTGAATGAGTATAAAAAGTGAAAGCCATTCGGAAATATCTCTAGCTAAAAAATTTGTTCAGCTTGCGATCATTTCTGGGCCCAGCAAGCTATTACAGAGTCTTTATCAAAGATTTTGCAGTAATAGCAAGGCCATTGACCAATATACTCAATGGAGAAAATGGTTCCGTGAGTAAGCACAGGTCCAAAAAGATCCAAATTGAGTTTAATGAAACTCAGGCCAGGGCCTTCGAGAATCTGAGGAATATCTTAGCATCAGAACATGTTATCCTCATGTACCCGGACTTTAAACAGGCCTTTGATTTGACCACAAACGCGTCTATGGACGGCATTGGTGCTGTTTTATCTCAAGGACGTAAACCAATAACCATTATCTCTAGAACCCTAAAAGGTAGCAAAGCTCATTACGCTACAAACGAAAAAGAATTGTTAGCTATCGTATGGGCGCTAGAGAAATTACAAAATTACTTATATGGCACGAAATAAATAAATAGAAACACTATAACCACTCATCATTCCAGGTGCAGTCAACGCAATTCATTGCGACCTTCCCACCTTAGCCAGCTTTCAACATGAGCTCTTGTTTAATTTTCCAGCCACCAAATTACGGTATTGCAAAAATTATGTGTCAGACACTACTGACAAAAATGAGCAAGTGGAAATTGTGACAGCGGAATACAATCGTGACTACTATTTTCCTAAAATATATAACTTGGCAAAAGAAATCGTCACAAATTGCAAGGTTTGCACCAAAGCAAAATACGATAGGCATCCGCAAAAAACAAGAGCTTAGAGCCTCGCCAATTCCCTCATATGCTGACGAAATGCTGCATATTGACATCTTCTCAACAGATACTAAACCTTTTCTCACCTGCATAGACAAATTCTCTAAGTTCGCTATCGTACAACCAATTCGATCGCGACCGATAATAGATCTAAAAATGCCCATCATTCAAATAATTAATTTTTTCCCGCAACAAAAACAATATACTGCGATAACGAAGCAGTTTTTAATTCGGAAACAATAGTATCACTGTTTTGAAAAACAATTATAATATAGACATTGTCAATGCGCTGCCACTACACAGTGTTTCCACTGGCCAGGTAGAAAGATTCCATAGCACTCTAGCAGATATAGCAAGAAGCCTAAAAATGGATAAGAAGGCTAGCGATACAGTGGAACTAATTATTAGGGCAACGGTGGAATAGAATAGATCAATCCACTCAGTAACGAATCAGAAACCAATTGACGTTATCCATGCCACATCAATCGAATCTAGACAAGATATAAAGAAAAAATAGAAAAAGCACAGCAAGCGGTACTCCAAAGATTTAACGCAGACAGACAGCACAGAATTTTTGAGGTAAGCGAAGAAGTATATATTAAGAACAATAAAAGGATAGGAAATAAGTTAACACAGGTTTGCAAAGAGGAAAATATCCAAGCAGACATAGGAACGTCTGTTCTTATTAAGGGGAGGATGGTCCATAAAGACAACCTCAAGTAGCGGGCAGAAGAAACTACCCAGAATAATCTTGCTATCACTAATCGCATAACAAACCCATTTGCCTCTTTACAGGATGCAATACGCAATACTGTTAATATTAGGGATAATACAGAGTCGGATTGTCGACAAATCGCATTCCAATAAAAGATGGGAAAGTATTAGTATGGGAACAAAGGAATTATTTAAGGCATTCGAGTAACTTAACAGAATTTAACAGCATCGTAGATGATACTGAAAAGTTAGTAGAGTTATTCCCACAATCTCATATGCGGAAATTATTAGTCGCAGATGTAGATCATATTAGGAGCTTATTGTCCGTTATCGAGATACACCATAGGATTGCCAGAAGTCTAGATTTTCTAGGCTCAGTACTAAAGGTCATAGCAGGCACACCAGATGCCTCCGACTTTGAAAAGGTTAGGTGGACCGAATCGCAATCAATCGATGCAAACAAGAAACAGAGAGTTATCAATTCAGAGACGTAAAGGCAAATTAACGAACTCACTTATGTAGTTAATAAAATAATAAACGAATTAGTCGATACATCCCATTTGTACGAAACACTATTGGCAAGGAATAGAATACTAATTAACCAGATATCAAACCTAATCCTCACAATTACATTAGCCAAATCTGGAATAATAAATCCAACAATTTTTGAACATAATGATTTGAAAACACTTTTAAATGAACATCCAATAGAATTCCCCATAGTCAGTCTCACTGAAGCGTCTAAAATTAAGGTCCTACAGTCCGAAAATGTAATCCATATCCAAATAGCTTATCCCAGAGTAAAACTCGTCTGCCAAAAAATCACCAATCATCTATCTAGTATCCCACATCATACTACAGCTTCAAGACAGCACCGTAGCCGAATGTAACAACGAGATATTAGCGGTCGATGAGTGCGTGGCAACAACATACACCTCGGTCTGCAAGTTAGCAGTGCAAGAGTCCTGCGCACAAGCGCTACACGCCAGTAGCACAGCCTCTTGCCGAACGCAGCCAAGCCACCTCAAGCCGATCACTCAAGTGGATGACGGCATTATTATTATCAATGAAAATACTGCATGGGTCAGCACAGACGAGGACCCAGAGATTGTAATCAACGGGGGACACTTTTCGATTCTCCGCAACTGTTAATGGCACGAAGTACGTGAACCAGCGTGAGATCCTACGAAAGGCAACAGGGATTGCAGGATCATCGTTGCTTAACATCATTGGCCACGACCCGGTCTTAAGTATACCTCAACTCCACCGGATGAACAATGACAACCTCCAAGTCATCCGAAGTTTTAAGAGTGAATTGGCATCTGCGGAAACATCGAAGAACTTGTTTACCATCGGCATCGTCGTCAGCCTTACATTCTGTGGTCTCATTATCGTCTGGCTAATCGTCAAAAGATGGCGAACGTCAAGGAAGGCACGAGGGATCATCGATAGCTATAAGGTGACCGAGGACGGCCAGGCGGAGTAGTTAACACATAAGTTCAGTGGACTGACCAACCATGGTAACATGACACTTGACTATGTTGCAAGTGTTTGCGTTATCATTTTTGCTGAGTCGGCTTGCCGGCTGTAGCTCTGTAGTTTTTTAGCGTATGAATTCAGCCTTAGGTTTAGCATAATATTCTGCTTTTGTCTGAATTCAGTTTTGTATTTGATGTTTACTGACAAGGTTCAAAATAAACTATACTACTCCGGCGACAGCCGTAAATAATCGTTTTCATATATTAAACATATTACTGAGCCAGAAGGCCAGTGATTGAGGTGAAGTCAAGCCTCCACCGTAAACATCCTAAGAAGACTTAGGAGATTACTTTATCAAGATCATCACGACGACGCCTGAGAATTCTTACGAACTTCAGCGACGACGCGGGAATGAAAAAAACATTAATTTACACACATACACATATGACATACAATCTTCATGAAACTTTCAGATTATGATTATAACATGGATATGCATGCATTTGCCAAAGCACAAGTCTCTAGTATTTGAAATACGCCTTTTACAAATATGTGGGTGTGGGGTAGATGTAGGGGTGGAGGGTAAATTTTAACAAAAACCGAAATTGTATAAATTGCATATAAATCTACATTAAAAATTTGGAGACTTTAGCTTGAAAGTTATAGGAGATATAATTTTATAACTGATTTTCGATAACGTTTTTTCTCGATAAAAAATATAGGGAGTAGTTATATTATCCACTCAGCTCGTCGCCCTGATCAAGAATATATACTTTGTGGGGTCTGCCACGCCTTTCTTCCTGTTACATACATTTCAACAAAACCATTATACCCTGATTTCCCATTTTCAATGGGTTCAGGGTATACAAATTCATTCTGATAGGCAAGCCCACGATCATTGAAATAAAATCATCTACTTAACTATAAACGCGCCTCTTCAATTAAAATCCAAAATCGTTCACACCATTCTAAGTTGAGGGAGGCACACGCCAATCTTCATCTCCCATGCATACATACAAACACATACACACACGCATATGTAGAGGCACACAGGCATGAGCAGCGCATCCCATGCGTGCACACAATCAAATGTATATACATACATACATACATATATATGTGAGCACTTCACAAGATCGACCAAATGCAAATGCTGGGCTTCAAAATTGCTACAGGCAGCCAGAGCTTCGCACACAGGCATACAAATGCTCATGGTACATGTAGCAAGGGACAGTGTGTGTGTGCATGCCCGTCGCAAAATCATATTTTTATGAGCACCAACGATTTCTTACCCTTTCCACAAATAATAACGAAAACGCAAACATTTTGCATGAGCATGGCAAACGATTTGAAGAGTTAGGTATACTCTTCACACAGAAGGGAAGAAACGGGAGTCTAACGCGAAGAAATTTCATTTTTCATGAGCTTGTGCTCACATGCATACATACATATACATATTTGAGAGAGGAGAAAGCATCGAGAGAGAGAGAGCAAGGGAAACATTCAGCGTAGAAGGATCTTTTGTTCAACACTCGACTATCTATACGACTATACGAAGTGCTCTGGGAACTAATGCTCGGAAAGAAAAAGCTTTACACTTCTTGTCCGGTCTATGTGTTCTGTGGTTAGTGGTTATAGCAAACCCCGTCCAGATGAATCGTCCGACGGACTTGGTCGAGTTGGCATGTCATTTGTCATTAATAAGTTGTATACTCTAGAGGAGCGTTTATACATTCTTCTCTAGGTTCATGTATTTGCACACCAGCATTATACAATGAATTTTTGAGTTTTTGAATTTTTAGTGAGTTCAAGATATAGGACGGTTAGGTATCGAAAAATTTAAAGCCAAGGCCAATAGACTCTATAAAAAATATTTTCTGTGTAGACTAAGACAAACTCTGACTTACATCCACGGAAATTGTCATGGAGCCTTTATTAGCCTCCATGCTCAAGTCCATGTCCTTATCCATGCCAACGCTGACAGGAGTTAGGCAAGTGCTTGCCGGCTCTGCTTCGTCGCAGACGTTCAAATAAATGTCGCCAATAGTGCTGCACAGCGGGAGTGTGTCTTGGTTCATCGGTTCAAAACAGCGCAGCTCATCCCACTCATTCAGTGGAATATCCACATTTCTTTAAATATTATACAAGCATTGAGATATGTGAGATCAAAAAGAAGTACACACCTGTTGAGCTGCTCCGTATCTTCTTTCTCTGGCCGCGGTGTTGTCAACATTTTGTCCTGTGTTTGTTGTTTCCAAACTTGTTTGCGATTCATTGGCGTCGTGTTTTCAATTGTTTAAGTTGTTAGTTTTTTGAGTACATAGTGTTAAGGAAAGGGAGAGTAAAAACAAATGCAGGATATTGCACGCAGTAGTCAGAGACTTTCCTAGTGGCGACGAGCTGAATGAGGTCGGTCGAAATAAGGCATTACATACGAGACGTAAAGTAATGCATTACCTATGAGATTTTTTTTCAGCGTATTTGTAATGACCAAAATTAAAACGACTACTCGTACGAAAGAATCTTGCTGTTGTCACCTTCGTTTTTGTATGCCCCTTCCCCTCTAATCAACAAACGATTTTCGTCTTCGTTTGGTTTCTTTGTCTATGCCTATTCCATTTGTGCGTGTAGTGTTAATGTATACATATGAATGTATGTGACACAACACTTTTCAGATTTTATTGTGCTGTGTGGACGTAATTTTGAGAGAGAGGCCGCTTTTTGGCTTCAATTAAAGAATAAGGGTACCTAAAATTAGGTCGAGACTGATTGCAATAAATCGCTTCATATTCAATTTTCGCAGTGAGCTATAAATATGAATATGCTCTATCTGGTATGTATAAATCATCTTACTTTTATCTTTAACGACAAAAAATTAATAATGTTTAATTAACAGATGCTATTAAAACCGACGGGCTCAGAAAGGTCGGCTGGCGAAGCAAAAATTTGACGACAAAAAAATAAAACAATAAATGTATATAGTTATGTAAATATAGACTGAGTGAATTTAGATTTTAAGAATGTAAATAATATTTAGCTAATACGACATAATAAATTATAATTATTATCAATTTAAATAAACAATGCTACATTACTGAGTCGTTTCTTTATTTCCATTAGTAATCAATTATTTCTGCAATTACATTGCATAGATGTAAGCCATATTATATAGTGGGAAAATGGGTTGCGGGAATATTGTGTTGTAATGTACGCACACGTTTTCTTCAGGGTACGGAATTTCTGTATTACAATATTAAAACAAGTAAGAAGGCTCTAGTCGAGACTGCTCGACTACGAGATCCCCTGAACCCTTCGAGCAACTGATATTTCAAGAATTATTCGCATATGCACACATACACCCACACACAGACATACATGCGCACGCATAAACACGCATTGGCTGCAGTGGTGGCTTACTATAGGAAGTTAATTGTTTAATAACTTTTCTTGTGGACGGATTATCTTCATGAAACTTTCAGATTATGAATATAATATATATATGCATGTATTTGTCAAAGCACAAGTCCCTAGTATTTGAAATACGCCCTTTACAAATGTGAGGTTGAGGGGGTGAATTAGGGGTGGGGTAAATTTTGACAACAACCGAAATTGGATAAAATGCATATAGCTATACATATAAAATTTTGAGACTCTAGCTTTAAAGATAAAGGAGATATAATTTTAAAACTGATTTTTGATAATGTTTTTAATCGATAACAAAATAACGGGGAAAGCTATCGATATTTAAAGCAAAACTCGATATGCGTGTGCTATACACGGACCTAGGAAAAAAATTCAAGTCTCTAGCTCTTATTTCTTCTGAGATCGACGCGTTCAAATATACGGACAAACGGACGAACAGACAGACGGGCAGGGCTAAATCAACTCAGCTCGTCGCCCTGATCAAGAATATATATACTGTATACGCCTCCTTCTGCCTGTTACATACATTTAACAAAACCATTATACCCTGATTTCCTATTGAAAATGGCTTCAGGGTATAAAAATATACGCTTGGGTAATGGAGAACCGAATGAAACTTCATCACTTCATTACTTTCTGCATTACAAAATTCACTTATTTCATGCACCCGGTAGAAAACGGGACCTATTGTTACGAAAGTAATCGATCTTGTAATCGATCCTTTCATGCACATAGGCGACAAGTAATCCATGAGTAATGGACAAAGCATTTCCGCCACTGGGTTTCAGACAAACGTTAAGAAAGAGCATAAGAAGAGAGAGAGAGGACGAGAAAGAGAAAAAACAAAACAAGTAAGAAAACTCTAGTCGAGAGTGCTCGACTACTACTACCCTGAACCAAACTAATAATAAAAATGCGCATTTAGTATGGCTAAAGTTTCAATTTCGATGTATTTAAAAATATAAATGAAAGAGAAAACTCATTTAATTAAATATATAAATATTTTGAAAAAATTAAAAAAAATTAACATCAATTGCGCGCCCGGGGCTCGAACACGAGACTTCTCGATCGAGCGTCACGCTCCAACTCCCTGACCATCTCACTTTTTCAAGCTCCGTTGGCAAAACTGAAATAGATACACTGCTGCAGCGCCATCTAGCAAAACTGAATTACAAGAACGTTGCAGTCGGGCGTCACCGACTGCGGAATACTCATTCACACCCCATCAGCAATTTAGTAGCTAATTTTCGCTCTAATACTGTAGAAAATACAGTTTTCCCGATTTGCCACGCCCCAACTGGGCGTAGAAACCTAATTTGGGGTCAGTTCTTAGAACGAGATAACGGTACCCTAACTGCAAAGTTTGAATGCTTACCCTCAAAAAATGTGAAAATTATAGTATTTTTCGATATGCCACGCCCCTAAAGAGGCGTAAAAATTATTTTTAGGTCATCGATAGAGGAGGTTACTGGTAACTTAACTATCGAAATTTGAAGCTTCTAGCTATTATACTTTAGGAGATATAAACTTTTGTGGTTTGCCACGCCTCCTGTGGGCGGACATATATATGCGACAAAACTTTTTGTTCTTGGGTAGTCAGCCCGAGTATATATACAAAATCACTATATCTTCAGGTCCGATTTGCCACGCCCCTAATGGGTGTAGACTTATAATTTTGTCTTTAGTCTTTATAGAATCATAACACTAGCTGTAAAACTCTTGGAGATACAGTTTTATCCGATTTGCCACGCCCCCAATGGGCAGAGATATATCCGCCAAGCTCGTGATCTAGAGTGGTCGACGCGGACCTACGTACCAAATTTCAGCTTTTTAGCTCTTCAACTTTTTAACACTTTATAAATCGGAGATATACACGAGTATGTGTTCCAGATTTCAAGTCTCTAGCTTCAATAGCGCCGAAATAGATTGCGTTCATACGGACAGACGGACATTGCACAAAACCAATATACTAATTCACTTTCGTGAGAATAATAATTTACTTTCGTAAATGAGTATAACTGCTGATGTGATTCTAAGAATCTTCTAGAATAACCAAACTAATAAAAACGCACAATTAGTATGGTTAAAATTTCAATTTCGGTGTATCCAAATATATAAATAAAATAGAAATCTCATTTAATTAAAAATATAAATATTTTGAAACTTGAAAAAAATTAACATCAGTTACGCGCACTGGCCAAATATTTTATTATTTTTTAACGTCGATCGACTTCACGGAATTTAATGAAACTTTCAGCATATGATCAACATATTCTATTGAATATTTGACAAATAAATGACAAATAAAAAAATTAAAAATCATTCACAATTAGCTATACTGACATCTGACTTGAACTTGAATGTTTTTATTGGATAAATCTTCTAAATTCTTCTTCAAACATGCGGACAGACGGACAGACAGACAGATGGACAGGGCCAAATCAACTCAGCTCGTCGCCCTGATCAAGAAAATCTGCCACGCCTCCTTTTCAGGGTTCAGGGTATAAACAGAAAGTGCCGAAGGGGTGTGTGAAAATGTGAACGTTAACCCATAAGAGCGGCAAAAGCGTGCAAGAAAATGTAGCATATAGTACGCCTAAGTAGGATAAACCATTCAAAATTTATTTTTGTATGTTGCTTAATGCAACTTTTTACAATTATTAAAACTTGAGTTTTTAAATACAATATTAACAAAACCAAATTATACTGGCCGCATAAATATGCTTTTACGCCACACCACAATAGAATAATGTTTAAAATCTTTACGATTAAAGATCATTGATAAAGCACTCAAATCGTAGTCAACAAACAATCGTGCGACGGTTTAATCCACTGAAAAATCAAAGCAAACGAAAATATAACAATTAAATCAGAAAAAAATGTACACATATATCATTTGATTTCAGTAGACTTGAAACATAGATATTTCGAAAAGCTAAATAATTAAGAGCATAAAAAAGCTTAAGGCTAAAACATGGCAAGCTTGAAGTTGGAACGCACTAATCTAAATTTTAGGGAGAATTATCGTTGATGCGGGTCTCAGTTGCGCCAGCTGGTCCTTGACTTACGCCTACAGAACTTACGCTGTTTTGCTTCCGGTAGTATATGCTTCATGACCACATCGTTGGCATCATCGAAATCAGAAGACTGCGTTTGATCATCATTTAGATCGATAGTGCTAGACTGGTCGCATTTGCCAGAAATGGGAGCGGTTCGACCAATTAGTTGAGTTGCTGAAACGCTGTCATCTCTTGGCTCAATGATAGAGGAAAATGCAGCCATGGAATCCGAGGGCATAGATACCGATACATGCTGACCAATACCAGGTGTCAACAGCGACACCGAATTACTGCCTGCAGCTCCCTCATGGATGCGTGGTGGAGACCCTGTTGGTGTCTTAAAGATCTGTGCCAAGACCATATCCTGCAGGAAGCTGTCCAACTTGCGCAACGATAGAGCATTGTGCAGTGTCTCCAGGGGTCGGATCGGTGGTACATCTCCAAATCCTAAACGCGGGGCACATAAACCATATAAGCCAATAATACATTTCTCATCTTCGGTTCAATATAATATTAGAAAATTGAGAAGGAGGAATGGGATCAAATATGAAAACGGATTCAAGCTACAGGATTAAGGCATATCAATATGTGAATATTAGTGGAATGTGTATATATATAGTACGTCTCAGACAAAGAGTAGGCCTATGTGTGTAAATTTCATAGGTGTTTTATTTGTATCCTGCCAGAGAAGCACATAGTTCCTGAATAAATCTCTGAATGCTAAAGCTCACATTTAATGCCTTTACCAAAATTTGCATTTTACTTTATAAGATGTACAATTTTCTTTTCGTATTCCAATAGATTAAATGTAATAAAGTATAAGTATACATAAAGAAAAGAAAAAAAATTTCTAAACTAAAATAAAATATTTCAATTGTTATGCATAGCACCGTAAATATATATCAAACTTTGCTTTTGTGTGTGTGGGGATAGGATTGAACGAAAATTGATTGATGATGTGTCTACGTGTGGATGGTTCTGTGTGGCCATGCTTGAGGATTAAATATTTGTGTTTAGGTGTGCGTATACGTGCGTATATATGTATGTGAAATTGGGTGTGGTTAGTTAAGTGTGTGGGAATATGTGAGCATGTAGGAGTGGAGGTGTGATTTTAGATGTACCTCGGTATTTATATATGTGAATATGTGAGTATGTGTGTATGTATGCATGTGCATGTGTACTTACCGGATGATGATACCGGTATCATATCGCGCAGATTTGGCGCCGAAGAGCTGCCGCTTATAACTGCCGTACTGAAAAGGCTATTCGCGCTGGTTGTCATCTTTTTGCTAAAACCACCGAAACCCAACATTTTCATATATGACATCTGGCCGGCAATACTGTGTCTTTGGCGACGCGATGATGTGGACGAATTGGCCGATGATACCGACGCCGATACCGAGACCGAAACGTTGCTATCTGTGACGATGGTATTGGTACAACAAGACGGGGACGTTGTGGTGACGTTGTTGTTGTTCATTGTGGTTGTGTACGTCAGGATTGGGTGAATGTTTGTGGTGGTGTGTAGAAGTTTTGGTGCGTCAATTGAGAGGGAATCGATTGGTTTCAATTGATTAGTAATGGATTGATTAGAACACATTGTCTGTATTGTATTGTTGGGCAAAGTAGTTGTTGTTATGGCTTTTGGTGGTGCTGTTGTTGTTTTTGTTGTCAAGATTGTTGTTCTTGCTGCTGCTGCAGCTGCAACAATTGCTTGTCTGCTTATTGTCTCAGTGATGACCGTAGTTGCTGCTGTCGAACTAACTGTTGCTGTTATTAACACGGTGGGTATATTATAAATCTGCTGTGGCTCAAAAAGGGATTGACTGGGCATGGTCGTAGGCGTGACATGCTCTGTAATAGGTGCAAAGCAGTTGATAAAACTATTCCCAGTTGGTGCAGCTGTTGCAACCGTCAAACCAAACCTATCTGACAAGACTGGTACTATGACTGGAGTCGGCGGCAACAATACTGACAGCTGGCCACACGAAAGGCTAGTGACCTTACGTTGGCTACGTTCTAATTGGCGATGATGCGACTGGTGCATCTCCATGTCCATACAGAGGCGCAGCGTGGAAGCTGTGGGCAAGCTGGTACCATACTTGGCCAGTGGCTGTAGATTAACATTACTCAAGTGGCGCTGTTGAAATACACCACTGAGCAGTACCGCAGGCGCCGAGTTCGATAACTGAGAATTATACCCAAAACTACCGGCAGTTGCTACAGTTACAGTAACTGATGCTGCAGCCCCTGTAATAGCCATGTTGCTGGTGCTGCTAGCCAAAGGCTCTACTATAGTCAACTTCATCAGACTTTTGGCATGCGTATCAGCCAATGAATTGAAATTGCTGTTGCAGTTGCAGCTTAAGGGCCGCTCGTTTGTTGCCAGCGGGGAAATTTGCGGAAATTGCAGACCTTCAAGTTCAGGCTCCTCGCCGCTAACCATGCTACGCATGCTTAGTAAATTATGTCGTTTGTGCATCCCATTGCAGCAAGCTAAAGTCATATTCATGTACTTTGGTGTGCCCGGCGTCAATGAAAAATCAATATCCGAAAGCGGCAATTCATTAGTCGAAGAATCGATCTTAAAGAAAGACAATCTGTCTGTCACGCGTATTTGTAAGGCAGAACGATTACTGTTGCTGGTACTACTGCCGCCACCCCCCGTCACGCCCACGTCTATGCCTGCATTGGTAATCTCATCAAGGGTGGATGCAGGAACTGCTGATTATGATTAGTAGCGGCAAAGAACGGGTGGAACCAAAGGAAATAAATAGTTTTGGTATTGTTTGAAGTGCGTTTAAAGAGATGTGTATATATGTGTGCGTACGTGTATTTAGTCGTAGAATACATATATAAACATAAAACTAATTAGCCGAAATACTTATCAAAGTAGAAGTAGAACGAGAGGAAAACAAGTGCTTTCGGTATGCCGAAAACAAAATGCACCTGCAAGCTTTGGAAGGCTATGTATATATAAATATATCCGCATATACATATTCAAATATTTTTTTATATATTTGCTCGACTCTGTCAGCTTATTTTATATTAGTTTAAAATTCTTTACTAATTCAAGTGTTGAAGTATTTTTAAAAGGCTTGACAATGGACAATAAGCAAAAGAAAAGGAATAGAAATAGGAACAGCCATAAAGTATGTAACGTATATGTGCATACGATTTAAAAGAAAATTAACTTTTACGTTAATTTTTAATTCTGTTCTCTTATGTGGAACTATAAGTATTAGCTAAGGATATATATATATATATATATATATATATATATATATATATATATATATATATCTTTCTATATTCTAATAAACTTCATTATGTCGATGATTGATTTCCAATAAGGTAGATAAATCAATTTTTATATTATAATAGTGCCATATTACATGGAAAGGATCGTTAAAAAAAACTCATATTCTTTTTAACATTTAGCTTTGCAGTTGCCTTGTAAAAAAAAAAATTTGATACAGGCAGAGCGTCGACGCCGCAGACCCACAGTAGGCGTTTCGAATATTTACGGTTAGTTTTGAGTTAGCATCGAGGTACGCAATTAAGGGCATAAATAAGAGTTAGTGGGACCTGGCGCGCACACCAAACAAACGAATGAAGGAAGAAACAGTCAAAGCAATGAACAGATATAAAACACCAAGAATAGCAAACATAGTATACTCATTATTAAAGAATGTTACAAGTCTATATATAAAATTTTGCCAGAGACTGAGAGAGATAGAGAGAGAGACAAGAGAGGAATATGTGTAGATATATATATATATATATATATACAGTGGAATCCGGTTATAGCGACATTCAAGGGACCGACGATTTTACGTCGCTATACCCGGAGGACGCTTTAACCAGAAAGAACAAAAAAACAAATTTTTTTTACGGTTGCCATGTTCGTAAAGGGGTTTAACATAAAAAATTTAGCCTTGTAATCAAAACAACAATTATTTATATATATATTATATATATATATATAAAAGAGAGTTGTGTAAAAGTGTCTTAGCACTTATAACTCGAGATCTGCTGGACCAATTTTCATGGTTTTTGATTTGTTGGATTTGTCTCCGGAACGAGTAGGTCAGTAGATCTTTAAAATACTGAAAAAATTTGACGAATACTTGAAAAACGCGGTTTTTTTCCTAAAGATTCAAATTTCCATTTATACTCAGTAGCCTTGACAACAGTGACAGTTTCGGTCCTGTATAGAAGTAAATAAACAAATGTAGTCAGTCAGTCTACGGCACTCATTCAACAAAAAAAAAAAAAAAAAAAAAAAAAAGACTATTCAACAAAAAAAAAAAAAGAAAAAGACTATTCAAAAAGAAAAAAAAAATCAACAAAAAAAAAATTTTCTTTTTCCAAATCAAAAAGAAAAATATTTCAAATCAAAAATCTGCAAAAATTCAAAAAAATCCAATGATTAAAACCTGACTGTTAAAAAATAAATAAAAAATTCAAAATTCGAAATTAAAAAAAAAAAAGTTAATTATTAAAAAGTGTATTTTTGGCTTTTTATATTTTTGGACTTTTAAACTTTATAAATATTTCAAATCAAAAATCTGCAAAAATTAAAAAAAAAATCAAAAGATTAAAACCTGACTAATCAAAAATAAATAAAAAATTCAAAATTCGAAATTAAAAAAAAAAAAGTTAATTATTAAAAAGTGTATTTTTGGCTTTTTATATTTTTGGACTTTTAAACTTTATAAATAATAATTGTGCGCGTGCGTACAAAAGCTAAATATCTCGAAAGTTCAGGTATTTGTTTGTCTCAAACATAAATTTGTGTAAATTATTTATATTTATATTTCTCGATTGTTTTATATGGTTTTGTGCGAGGGCAGTATTACTATTAATAAAAATGCCGCGTCCTAGAAGATCTAATCTTTCCCGGCGGACCCATAATGCAATTCGGCAACGGAATATCGCGAGTCAATTATCTGACGAAGAGCGAGAAATCGCCCGAGAAAGGCTCCGCGTTAGTACCCAGCAAAGAAGGGCCTTAATTCGTGCTTCTCAAAGAGAGGCAGACCGTGAAATGGCAATAAGAAATGGTTCAAGGATTGATTTGAATCGAGAAGCGTTTCGATATGATTGCACCATTGACTATAGCTTGAATCGTTTAGTTTGCATTGGTCTAATGGACGTTGCTTGCCAGCATTGTGGCGCATTGAAGTTTGCTGGTGAAACGCCCGGTTTGTGCTGCCTTAGTGGTAAAGTGACATTGCCATTAGTGGTCCCGCCGCCAGAGCCATTGCGTTCCCTACTTTTCTAGCGAGCACTCAAAAATACAATGCCTGTTTCCAATTCGGGGCAGAGACAAATCCAACAAATCAAAAACCATGAAAATTGGTGCAGCAGATCTCGAATTATAAGTTTTGTAACAAACTCTACTTTGTTTTATATATATAGAGACTGTTAGGCGGTACGAAGTTCGCCGGGACAACTAGTATATTATATATTATTTCAATAACATGGTATCGAAACATTTGTGTGACATCGGCATTGCAGCTTGTGTCTTTCTCTCAGTGTCTTAGCAGCATTTGTGTCGTTCCTACGTACACACGGATGATTGATAAATAGAAGCATATATACATTTCTAGCAGCGTCTTTTAATGCTTAAATTTGTTGTCATTATTTCTCTTTTTTTTTCGGCACGTCGTAATATCCGGAGAATGACTCAAAAATATGAAAAAATCGTCGCTATAAGCGGATTGTCATTAAAAGCGAAGATGTACTAAACGGAGGCTCTTTCATATAAGTTTGTATGGGGACCAACCAAGACATCGAATTTTCATCGACATAACCGGTTGGACGCTTTAAGCGGAGTCGTTATAACCGGATTCCACTGTATATATATATTTCTTTTTATTTTTTTTTTCTTTATTGTTACACAACCGTTCCAATTATAAGTATCATTAGATATTAAGTTATGGACAATTGTTTGGAGTGTCGGGCTGATGATTAAATGATGGGTGCTATATAGTATATGTAGCTAATGATGAAAATGAATATATGTAGCTAATGAATATTGTTCAATTCAGCTTAGCTGCATTGCCAAATACACGGGATTCCGCGGCCAGATGCCTATAGATTTTCTGGAGCGCACTTTTGCATTAGAGTCAAGTGACAGAAGAGGAGTATATAAAAGGCAGAGTGTAAGAGAGGGGAGGGCCAGATGGGGGTGGAGCGACAGAGGAAAAGATAGATAGATAGAGACAGAGAGTGAGAGAGCTTGAGTAACCCACGCAGTGGTTGATACTAAAGCCTCTTTATATATATATATGTATATATATATATATATGTATATATATATATATATATATATATATATATATATATATTTTTTTTTTTTTTTTTTTTTATATATATATATTTAAAAATGTTGGGTTCTGTTTTCATATATC